TGGTATGTAAGCTGTTTTTGGGTATGGTATGTAAGCTGTTTTTGGGTATGGTATGTAAGCTGTTTTTGGGTATGGTATGTAAGCTGTTTTTGAGTGAGGTATGTAAGCTGTTTTTGGGTATGGTATGTAAGCTGTTTTGGGGTATGGTATGTAAGCTGTTTTTGAGTGAGGTATGTAAGCTGTTTTTGAATGAAGTATGTAAGCTGTTTTTGGGTGAGGTATGTAAGCTGTTTTTGAATGAAGTATGTAAGCTGTTTTTGGGTGAGGTATGTAAGCCGTTTTGGGGTATGGTATGTAAGCTGTTTTTGAGTGAGGTATGTAATTAATTTATTTTTAGACGTATGTGTGTTCAATTTTATACTGGATGAGGTAGCTGATGATTTTATTAGGAAAACGTATGATAAGTATACTCAACGTGAAAATCATCACAAACTGTAAAAAAAAAAAACAAATGCTTTTGAACATCTGGCAAACCAACAGTTTCCAAACTGAAACTGCTAATTAAATTCTACTTAAGCCACATGACTGGTGGAAAATTAGTGAAGGAGATTTCTCATTGCCTGCATCAAAATAGTCATTATGATTGAACTATTTTACATTTCGAAATTAAACATTTGTGCGCAACGGTCTGTTAAGCAATGAACCTTAGTTGTGAGAAACGTAGTTTTCTGTGAGTTTAATTATTCGGTAGAGCTCGCGTGTTCCCGGAAAAGTTCGATCGATTTATCTAGGCCTCGCAATTTAACATTAGAAGAAAATCCCTTAGTTATTTGGTCTTAATAGACAAAACCCACTTATTTGTCGTTATCGTGTATAGAGGGTTGAGTACGTTGTATCAAAAGGATTTTCAATATGGAAATAAGCAAATCACGTGACATCCTCGGTCGGTATAAAGTCATGGTGGAACGGAATGTATCAAAATTACATTTTGACATTGCATGGCGTTTTGGGAATTATATGTAACAACCCTTTCCGACATAAAATATTCATACAATCAGATAATAAAGATGTGTCCAAATCGTGGATCTAGACTTTCCAGGGCAGGATATCCCTTGTACTCAATGACTCTGGAAAACAAAATAATGAGGATCAACTTGGGACACCAGGATCATCCAGAAAAAGGGGCCTGCGATAAGTCATACTCCAACCATTGTAAGCAAAGTGCGGCGTCTTGTAAGAGGCAAGACCCCACAAACATAAAGGTCACCTGGGAAAAGTTGTCCACGTCTCCGTCTGTAAAAACGACAGCCTTACGACGGAGCCTTTAGCAATGGAAACTACGCTGCATGGCGATTCTCAGGATGCAGAGTCGCCAGACAGAACACAAACGGTCGTGGCGACGTGGACTGTAACAACATGATTCATGATTAGGCTCCAAAATTATTTTTAGATAACAAGTTCAGTCTCTAGAGTCTTTTATTATGGCTTTTGGCTTCACCATTATCTTACTTCAACGAACTTCACTCTTCTATAAGTAAGATTCCCTGTTTAAAAAAATGGTTGAGTTCTAAATTACTACCCTAATATATTACCTAAGATGAGCTTCTTTTATTATACTCTTTACATTCATTTTTCCTGTTCATTAATGTGTTCGAGAAATGTAAACATTTTTATGAACAGCAAGAAACTAACAAGCAAGTTTTCTGTTTCCTTTTTGATAGACCAAGAGTTACTTACAAAGGTGGTACCTAGAGAAAACTTACAATTTTTTTATAAGTACCTATTGATATTGTCACATCCGTGATGTTCTGTCTGATGACAATAAACATGCAGCGTAGTTTCTATTGTAAAAGGATCCGTCATAAGGTATTCATGTCCAAAGCACACCCCCTTCCCTGCTTCTTTCCATAATGTATCTATTGAACGAAAGAATCCCAGCGCCAGTTTCAACAGTGGAATCTCGCACAAATCCATTGGTGCTTGGTCTAAAGAACTGCGTGGAATAGCATTAACGCCAGTTTCATTCTCAAGCTGCTCGAGGTATGAGAATATTTAGTGGATATGTCGTACAAGTAGTTTGAGTAGATGTAACTTGTATCGGTTTTCCTGTCAAATATCTTTCTTGATTATGTTGCATAATTTTGCCTGGGACAAGTGGAAGGCTTTTGCTAGTGACCTTCATGTTCGTGGATTCCTGCCTATTACAAGACGCCGTACTTTACTTACCACGGCTGGAGTACGACTTATTGCAGGTCTCTTTCTTTTTGGTCCTTGTATCATAAGTTGATTCATATTTATATTCATATGTTTTGCGTGGGCGTTTTTGCGTTTTTTTACCACTACTTCGCCCTCTGTTGATGAATCTTCAAATTTGGTATGGAGGTTCATTGGGTCCAGGAGGAGATACATGCAAACTTGCGTTTTCACATTTTGTGTTATGCAGTTTTTAGGAGCGTTTTTTTTTTCGTTTTTTACAATTACATATAAGGGAAGCAACTTTTCATGTCCTAAGATAACCTTTTATTAATCACGAATTTACATAAGTTCCGTCCAGGGGGCGGCGGGTACTCCAGATAGTTAAAAAATAAAATATCATCACTTTTACGAATCGGGCTTTATTAGTTAAAAAATACAGCTAAACAAGCGCATATCAATTATTATGGCGCATTAAGATTTCTTTAGAACTGATAATAACATTAGAGATTCTAGTTTGAGATGACGAGTTTTATCCGACACCAGCCAATGGTCGTCTACTAAGTATTTGTTGTTTGATTTATCCAATAATTCTCTGCCACGTGGCAAATAATTACTGTATATACGATCTTCACCACTAGTAATACACGATGTTGAAACTTTCTATACGAACAAATATTGGTTATACAAACAGCTATGTTAAAGTCACTCCGGAGTTGTTATCTATATAATTATCTTTTCGGATAGAGATGATTGGGTACTTTCTCGTGCTGGTTTTAGCTTCATCTCTGTTACTCCTCAAAGATGTTATTAAATTATTCGATTGGTTATATCTCGATCCTTACCTTTTCAGCGTTTGTCGGCACTCAAGATAGCAACACAAACAAACTTTAGAACTTATTACAACGATAAGAAGATTTAGGAGATGATTATAATTTACGATCAGAGAGGGCGTATTAACAAAAATGAATTATAATTACCTGACTTACTGGCGATGTAGAGGATTTTAAGCTGTATAGATGAGGCTTAATTAAAATTTCTTAATTAAATGTCTTGACGGTTTGTTTTTTTAGCATTTAGATATTTTATTCCTTCTTTAACCTATCATGTTTATTTTATACTTTTTCTTATCTTGCATTTGCTGATTTAATACTGATTACTGTTAGGACCATAAAATAATTAAAATGTATCCAAACAAAGTTATCTTTAAGGGAAATTGGTGATTCCGATTGAACAATTAATTAAAGCACCATTGTTTGAACAATTAATTAAAGCACCATTGTTTGAACAATTAATTAAAGCACCATTGTTTGAACAATTAATTAAAGCATCATTGTTTGAACAATTAATTAAAGCACCATTGTTTGAATAATTAATTAAAGCACCATTGTTTGAATAATTAATTAAAGCACCATTGTTTGAACAATTAATTAAAGCACCATTGTTTGAACAATTAATTAAAGCACCATTGTTTGAACAATTAATTAAAGCACCATTGTTTGAATAATTAATTAAAGCACCATTGTTTGAACAATTAATTAAAGCACCATTGTTTGAATAATTAATTAAAGCACCATTGTTGACTTCCTGTACATACAACCATTGTTATTACAGTTAGACGGATTCCTGTACCTACAACCATAATATAGCTGTAATAGCTAGGACAAGATTGTGGAACGGTCAGTGTCTTTCTTAGTCTACTGTTCTGTATACTTGCGAACGTTCGGGGAAATATATTTTAAACAACAATGTCTTTCTCAGTCTACTGTTCTGTATACATGTTAACGTTCGAGAAGATAGATTTTTAAACAATGTCTTTCTTAGTCTATTATTTCGTACACTAGTTTATGTCAATCATTTAACTCTCGACCACTTAACGGTTTTTTATATATATAAATATACCCGTGTACGTTTTGTTTATGTACGTATATGTACACGTGTAGGCTGTGCTCTGAATCCAGTTTTAATGGTAAAATATAACGTACTTTAAAATCACTTGCTTCTTCAGGAACTAATCATATGACTTCCTTACCTCAGTTAGTGAAAATCAAGAAGTTTTTACTTGTTAGAGGGGAACACTTGCTATTAGATCCTGTTATTAATGATGTTAATAATCTAAAGTGTTACCTTACGAATTGATTTAAAGATTGAACAACATCCAATTACAGATTGGTGATGAAAAATCCTGGACGGTGACGCGTGGCAGAAAAGTAAAAGGAAGATCTGAAACATTATTTTTACATCCCTCAATTTCTCTCTTATAGATGTCCTATACATAACACACGATGTTCTTATAGATGTCCTATACATAACACACGATGTTCTTATAGATGTCCTATACAAGAGAACATCGTGTGTTAGTGTGTTATGTATAGGATATCTGGTTATATAACTTGAGTTGTACCTTTATTAATGCTCATCAAGAAATAAGTTACCTCAAAATGTACAAACACACATTCATTGTTTTTTTTGTTGTTGATAGGTATTAATTATGTAACAACAGCTTTGATAGATTAACATTTGAATACTTCAAAGTTGTGGTATTGAGCTTCAAAACCTGGCGAAACCACATGAGAACATTTGGCTTTAGGGCCGATGTCTATGCCAGCTATGTGTTTAGTTCAACAGGTTTTCAAATGCATGTAGTTTCCACTCAGGAACTGTTAATTTTTCAGAGTTATTCTCGTGTCTGTGACTTTATTGTAATCACAGAATATCATTGGTTTGATATTAATGAAATTGTATAATTAAGAATGGGTATTTCTGTTTCTCTGTAGCCCGCCAACGAAGAAGGGAAATTGTAGGATTGTTTTTCTTGTATTATTATAAAGTTAACTAAACCAACATAGTGTGAGTTCGTTTTACTCGTGTTTTGTTTTGTTGGTATACAGCACGTGGCTGTAGAACTAGTATTAAACTGTTTTATTTCTTCTTCTCCTTACTGTTGCTATGTTATAAAGCAGGAGTGTTTTCTAACAACTTTTCTCGCATGTTTAAACGGTTGTTAAACTTTTCAGAAACTTTCTTGGCTTATCTTGAATATAACCCACATGATAGTTATATGTAACCAGCTCCATCCTTCCTGATTTGGCAACTAACCTATGATTTGTTGTTCGTTGTTTTGGCAAAGCCGGTCCAGACTCCAAATTTCCCAATCACTAGTCAATATCCCCCGTTTTCTTGAAGAACAAGTTATTCTGCTGTTTTTATAAAATATGTTTTAAATGCTTTTGGGATATGTAAATGCTATAAAAGAATAATATTGTGAGATGTACAATTTAGACACAATTTTATTAAATAGATGCACAAAATAATGTTCCTATAAATATTTATAACTTTGTTTTTTAGACGTTAGTTTCTGACTAAAGTCATAAAAGAGAAGTTTTAATGTGCTTTATAAAGACAGTAATTCGTTGTAATGCAATAAAAGTAATAATTACTTCAAATTAATTCCAACCGAATTATATCAATAAGAAGGATAGAGTTAAAATTCAAATCTGGTTATGGAATATTAGAGACACTGTTTATGTTAATCTATTTTATGGTAAGTGAACCAGGTTAACTAAGTCATGCTGTGAAAAAGTAGCTTTCTTGAATGAAATCGTTTTAAATATCTCATAATGAGAATAAGAAATACGTGTTTTCTTCATGCACAACTTATTTTAATTGTTAGTATAGATTAGTAAATGAGGGAAATGTACGGTATAATAACCGAAGTGATGCTGGAGTGATTAGTAAATGAGGGAAATGTACGGACTCCAGCATCACTTCGGTTATTATAGATTAGTAAATGAGGGAAATATACGGACTCCAGCATCAAATATATACATTAGTACATATTATTATACAAAGAAAATGCGCGAACTTCGGTATAATTTCCACACTCCACTAATATTTTTATTTTCTTAAAGATTTATAATTAATGACCCTAAAATACTTCAAAAGTTTATTATATTAGCTATCGTGCCTGTTCATGTACAACAAAGTGTTTTCTAAGTATGATATTTTCCCTATTTAAGATGATCGTTGTGTCTGTTCTTTAACATAACGCGAAGATAACGATAGGCTAATTATGCAGTATTTCGGCATGCCTAAGATAATTTATGCATGACTATTGAGTAATGAATTTAGACAGTAATTTTCTTAATGCATGATGTAAAATATACTTATTATTGTATTTATATATGTGATTAAATTAGATGATGTTATATCTTATTGCATTACTTGTTATTTTCTTTCAACTTAAAGCATCTAATCAACTTAGACGTATAAAACAACGTGTAAGAGTGAAAACCGAAAAGGACATCGTCTTAAATCATGTCTTGTAACACAATCGTTGTACATATAGAATGTTTTTAATGTCACAAAAACAAAATAAATGGTTAAGTCTTGTAACGAATTTATTGTTATGTATTCATTTTTAATATGAACGTTGTTTGGATTAAATTTTTATTTAGAAATAGGCATACCTTGCATTATCAGATATGTGTTATGTATAACGAATTTATGATATATTTATTTTAATGCCAAAGTTTGTTTCGAATAAGTTTATATTTGAGGGCGTGTCTAGCTTACCGTGTTAGTTACGTATGGCGAAACTCCCGCCAATTCTCCAAGGTTGCAGAATATTCGTGAACACAAGAATCAACAATATATCTACTTCCGTAACCGGTTAAATACAGTTCGGTATTGTCCCGCCTATAAAAACGGCAGGGCAACGCGCCAAAAACAACACAGAGAGAGAGCTTGTAAGTCTGCTAGGAACCTGCTATAACCGTGTAGGCACAGAGAGAGAGGTTATAAGTCTGCTAGGAACCTGCTATAACCGTGTAGGCTATAAACCGTGATTTTACTAACCCTTATCAACCGGAAAATATACGACATATGACCAGGAACAGTTATAAATTTCGAACGTCAGTGGATTCTCATCGGACGTTAGTATCTTTTCGAAAGTATTACTGAATTCTCATCGGACTATATTAAATTCTCAATACGTAACAGTCTAAAAAAAGTTCAACTGACCAAACGGAAACCTGAACTTCTCTGTGACCGTTTGGAAACTGGGTCAAACATCTCTCTTAAAGCTTGCTCAAATTATTACAAGAACTTAACGCTACTCACAACGGCAGTTTGTCGAGTTAAATACACTCTCTTCTAAGTTGCTTTCATCGGACTAGCGTCTTGATTTATCAAGTTTTTGACTGACTTTTAATGTACGATATCAGTTCCATCTGGTAGCAAAGCTGGTTGATAACTTGCTACAGCCGGAAGAAACGAAAGAGGGATACCGAAACCTGCTTATTTGCGGATTGGTTGACAAAAAAACATAAAACTTTTTGATTCAATTATTTCTACTAGGTTCGTTTGATACAGTGATTTGTTTGTTTGTTTGAAGTTAAGCACGAAGCTACACAACGGGCTATCTGTGCTTTGCCCACCACGGGTATCGAAACCCGGTTTCTAATGTTGTAAATCCGCTGTGCCACTGGGGGGGGGGGCATGATACAATGACATCATAACAATCCTTTAAGGACTAGATATATTAGAAAATTATAATGGCAATAAATCTTTAGCAAATGACAAACAACTAGCTAAAAATCAACTAAGCTAATAAATTTCTGAATTTGTACATATATATATATATATATATATCTGTATAGAAAATAGGTAAATACGCTCTGGCGGATAAACGTTGAACTGAAGAGGACATGTGACATGTCGAAACTAGGTTCCATTTAAATTTGGTATTGTTCCATTAGTGTAGATTTAAACTTTATTGTAAATATATCTGTATATGTATATATATACTTTAAGAAAAAATGCGTTTTCTTTCCACATGTGATTTCCACACTGAAAACATCTGGTTTACATAAGTTTCCTCAGTTAGCCAGCAACAGCCATCGTAAAATTACAGCTCTACGCATAAACTTTATCATCGTCAACTCACTTTAGCAAGAAAAAGTTAGTTTCTTTGGAAAATATTCTTGATAATTTTTGTTCAATTCGTTTCTTTTTTTTTTTTTGGCAAGTTATTCGAATATTTGTTCAATT